TCTTTATTTGACGAGAGAGAGAGAGAAAGGGAAAGTGAGAAAGCAAGCCACCAGGCCCAGGATTTGAACCATGGTTGGCCATGTGGGAATCCAGCACCCTTATCCACCACGCCACCTGCTGGCCCCAATTGAACTTTATTTTAATTTGACAAGAGAGGGACAGAGTGCGAGAGAGGAAAAGTGAGAAAGCAAGTCACCAGGTCCAGGACTTGAACTGCGGTTGGTCACGTGGGAGTCCAGCACTCTTAACCACGCCACTTGCCAGCTATTATCATAATTTTTCAATTTTGATGAGACAGAGAGACAGAGAGCAGGTCCGGGACTGTAACAGCAGTTGGCTATGTGGGAGTCCAGATCCTTTAGCCACCAACACATTTTTCCTTCTTTACTTTTTTAAATAATTATTTTATTTGACTTTATTTATTTATTTAAATTTGACCAGAGAGGGACAGAGTGAGAGAGAGAGAGAAGGAAAGTGAGACAGCAAGCCGCCAGGTCCACACTGGAACCACAGTCAGCCATGTGGGAATCTAGCGCCTTAACCACCATACCACCTGCCAGCTGGCCGGCCTCTCAAGAACAATTTTTTTTTTTTTAAACAATTATTTTGGGGACCAGCAATTGGTGTAATGGCTATGTCGTTAGACTCCCATGTAGTCGACTGTAGTTCGAGTCCTGGACCCAGCGGCTTAAAATCACACTGGGCACAAGTGTGTGCATGTCCAACGTCCTGAGAAGAGAATGGAGAAGGGATTGCAGCATGGCCATCCCCCTAGGGGGTGACTTCTCGCTTTCTGTTTCTCTGTCTCTCTGTCTTTCTGGTGAGTGTACATGCTCTATAGCAAAAACCTCTAATTTTTTTTTATAAGAACCGCATATTGAGGGCCAGCAAGTGGCATGGTGGTTAAGGGCGCTGGACTCCCACATGGCCGACTGTGGTTCAAGTCCTGAACCTGGTGGCTTGCTTTCTCATTTACTCTCTCTGTCCCTTGCTGGTCAAAGATTTAAAAATAAATATGTAGAGTTATTAAAAAAAATATTTAACTCTATGTATTTATTTACTTATTTTTTAAGTTGACTAGAAAGGGACAGAGTCAGAGCCAGAGAGAAAGCAAGCTGCCAGGTCTGGGATTCGAACCATGGTCAGCCATGTGGGAGTCCAGAACCTTTTACCACCATACCACCTGCTGGCCCCAAGAATACATTTCTAAATATGTCTATCAGAAGTACATACTGGGGGCGGGGAACCAGCAGATAGCGTAATGGCTATGTCGCTGGACTCCCACGTAGTCGACCGCGGTTCGCGTCCCGGACCCAGTGGCTTAAAACTCACGCCGGGCGCGTGTGCGTGCGTGCCCAAGATCCCAAGAGAAGAATGGAGGAGAAGGGATTGCGGTGTGACCAACCCCCCTGGGGGGTGATTTCTCGTTTTCTGTCTCTATGTCTCTCTCTGTCTGTCTGGTGAGTGCACGTGCCCTATAGCAAAAACCTCTCAAAGAAATAAAAAAAGAAGTACATACTGGGGGCAGATAGGTAGCATGGTGGTAAAAAGGGCTAAATGCCCACATGGCCGAACGCGGTTTGAGTCCTGGACCTGGCAGTTTGCTTTCTCATTTTCCCTTTCCGTCTGTCTTTTTCTGGTCAAATTAAAACATAATAACAACAAATGGAATTAAAAAAAAAAAAAGTAGTAGTAGTACATATTGGATGGGACCAATAGAAGCATAATGGTTATGTCACTCGACTCCCAAGTAGATGACCACAGTTCGAGTCCTGGACCTGACAGCTTAAAACTCACGCCGGTGTGTGAGTATGCACACCCAGAATCTCGAGAGAAGGATGCAGAAGGGACTGCAGAGTGGCCACCCCACCGGGGGGGTGGTGATTTCTTGCTTTCTGTTTAAATCTCTCTTAAAAAAGAAAAAAAGTCCATCTTGGGGCCAGCAGGAGGCGTGGTGGCTAAGGCACTGGGCGCCCACGTGTCTGATGGTGGCTGTGTCCCTTCCCTGGCAGCTTACTTTCTCACTTTCTCTCTGTCTAGCGAGTGCCTGTGCCCTGTAGCAAACTGGAAAATAATAATAAATAAAATTGAATAATTATTAAAAAAAGAGTACATACTAATATACCACTGACAGCGAATTAAGACTTTGTAAAAAAAATGCCCTGTAGGGGCTGACAAGTAGCGTAGTGGTTAAGGCACTGGACCCCCACATAGCCACCATGGTGTGAGTCCTGGACCTGGCAGCTTGCCGTCTCACTTTTCCTTTATCTCTGTCTCTCTCTGGTCATATTTAAATAATAAATAAAATAGTCTTAAAAAAAATGCACTGTAAAAAACAAAAACAGGGTCAGTTAGTGGCATGATGGTTAAGGTAGCTGGATCTCACATGGCCTACTACCCAGTTCAAGTCCAAGACTCTGGCCTGAAAAACACTGGGCACAGGCCCAAAATCCTGAGAGGAAAATGGGGGAGAAGGCGCTGCGGCATGGCCATTCCCCTGGGGGATGATTTCTCACGTTCACTCTTTCTTTTTGTCTCGCCAGCGAAAGCACATGCCCTATAGCAAAACAAAAATGAATAAAAAATTTTAAAAAATGTATTGCTTCTTCAGAATTACATGATCTGAACTTGGTACTTACTTAGCCTTAATTTCAGACCTAGTAAACACACCACTGTTTCTCCTCCCAGTCCAAGCCACGTTGTAGGGAAGATAAAACAATGAAAGCACTGACAGTCACTGCAGCTTCTAAAGTGAATTAACTTTTCATTTTTTTTTTATGTTTTTGCCCTAGAGTTGTATGAGTTCACTGGAGAAACAGAGAGACAGTGAGCGGGAAAGCGAGCAATCATCCTCTGGGGAGATACCCACACTGCAATCCCTTTTCCTCCATCCCGCCCCTGGGGTTCTGGGCACGCACACCAATACACTCTGCGTGATTTTCCATAGGGCGGGCGCCACCACGCCCACTCTGCGTGATTTTCAAGCTGCCAGGCTGGGATTCGAATGGCGGTCGGCCACGTGGGAGTACAACTTAGCCACCACCACCTGCTGGCTGAGTTAATATACAGATAGTAAGCATTCAGAAATGTTAGTGATTACTCTCTATATGCTAATTTTTAAGACCGAGGTGAAAGCATTTTCCAAAGTTAAAAAACAGGCTGCAATTTCATTATAGAAAAGTATCATCCAAGAGAAACTGAATAGAATGATGCACTCCTTTATTTCCATACTTCGACAAATAGGTTTTCAAGGAACAATCTTTCTAGTGGAGATCAGCGGCATGAAAACCAGCCTCCAGCCACCAGCTGCTGCCCTGCTCAGGGCCTAGGCTCCCCCTGGCCCGAGTGGTGAGACGGAGGGGTGTACTTTCCTTCCTTTATTAGCTTTTCCCGCTGCATCCTGATGGCGTTCATGCGTTTTATCTGTCAAAGGAAAAAGGCATTTAAACTACATGCACCAGAAAACAAGGACTAGCGAAACAGCTAGAATTTTATTTCATCTTTTTTAGGTTCTTGCCATAGGCCATGGGCAACTGCCTGCCAGAGACAGACAGAGATGGAAAGTGAGAAGTCACTCCCCTCAGGGAGGATGGCCACACCACAATCCCTTTTCCATTCTCCTCCTGGCAATGTGGGCATGTGCACACGTGTGGCTGGCATGGTTTTCAAGCCTCCAGGTCGGGGACTCAAACTGCAGTCAGCCATGTGGGGGTCCACCACCTTAAGCCCACACCACCTACTAGCCCCTTGACTATATTTTTAGACGATGGAAGACGTGTCATCCCATGCGACCTCTGAGATGAAATCCATCTTTTAAAGAACAGACTTGAAATCACTTCCCAAGCTTTTTTTTTTTTTTCTTTGAGAGATTTTCATTGTAGGGCGCGTGCACTCGCCAGACAGAGAGAGACATAGAGACAGAAAGCGAGAAATCACCCCCCAGGGGGGATGGTCACGCCACAATCCCTTCTCCTCCATTCTCCTCTTGGGATCCTGGGCACGCACGCACACGCGCCCGGCGTGAGTTTTAAGCCACCGGGTCCGGGACACGAACCGCGGTCGACTACGTGGGAGTCCAGCGACATAGCCATTACGCCAACTGCTGGTTCCCTTCCCAAGCTTTTTAACAAAGTTCTGATATACATAATAATACCTCCCTGGAAACTAGTAACCAAAACGTTCTTTAGAAATACCTATTTACGAAAACCTCTAAGAGGGCCAGCCCTGCGTGCAGTGGGTAAGGGAGCTGAATCCCACGTGCCGAGTGCAGTTTGACTCCAACTGCCATTCGCCTCACAGCTTGGAAACCGTGGCCGGCCATGTGCATGCGTGTGCCAAATCCTGGTGGATGATTAATGGAGGATGTACTGCAGTGTGATCACACCCCAATGCGAGGTGCTTTCCCGGTCTCCAGTGACGGCATGCACCTTGGCAATAATAATGAAAAAGCCCATGAGAGGTATACTTAGGAATAAAATCCTTTCAAATATGAGAAGTCAGATCCTCTCGCAGCTTATATGTTCCTGATCTCTCTGTGGGAAGTGATGCTGGGTATGAATGAAACGGAAACAGCCATCATGGGGTCTCTTTCTGCTGCTCTGAAGCAAAGGCCTGATGTGTGCTCAGCCGCTAGTCACCGTGGAGCCCTGAGTTCTGTCTTTTCCCCTGATCGGCGGCTTCCTCATGAACCAAAGCCATTCTACAGACTGTCACGGTCACACCGAGGAGCTGGTCCCCGGAGTATTTTCCCTAATGCTAACTGCATTCGTCCTCTGCTCAGAATCCTCCAGTGGCTTCCCATTTTACTGAGAGAAAAACATATAAAACATGAAGCCTTACAAAGGTTTACAGGGCCTACTTCTTTCTCCTGCTCTTTTTTTTTTTTCAGAGTACATGTGCTTACCAGAGAGAGAAGGAAAGTAGGAAATCACCCCCCAGGGGGGATGGCCACGCCACAATCCCTTCTCCTCCATTCTCCTCTCAGGACTTCGGGCGCACACACACGTGCCTGGCATGATTTTCAAATTGTGGGGTCCCGTCAGCTATGTGGGAATCCAATGCTGTAACCACCGCGCACCTGCTGGCCCAACTCTCTCTTACTATCTTTGTTCTATTCCAACTCAAGAGACTTTGCACTTGCCGTCTGCTCTGACTGGACCACTAGGCCATTCTTCCTGCATGGGGCTTTTTTTTTGACCAGAGTGCGTGCACTTGCCAGAGAGAAAAGTTTGGGAAAGAGAGAAAACACTCTCTATGGGGAAGTGGTCACACCGCAGTCCCTCTCCATCTCTCCATCCTGTAAGGATTTTGGGTATGTGCATATACATGCATTCGCCCGGAATGTTCTCCAAGCCCCAAAGGCCGGCATTCGGAACACATTGTTGGTCATGTGGGACTCAGGTCCCCCAAGCAGGTCATGGGGCCAGCTCCATGGCTTACATTCTACACTTAAATGTCTTCTATCGCTTAGCTCTTCTCTGACGATTCTATTTAAAACAGCATCCACTGAAGCCAGCAGGTAGCACAGTGGTTACACTGCTGAACTCCCACAAGGTTGAGCGGTACAAGGCGTGGATCTGGTGGCTTGAAAATCACACTGGGTGCATCTGCATGCACGCCCAAGATCCTAGAAGGAACATGGAAGAGAAGGGACTGTGGCATGGCCATACCGTCTGGGGGGTGATTTCTCACTTTCCCTCACTGTCTCTGTCCGTCTGCTTCTCTCTCTGGCAAGCACACATGCCCTATGACAAAAACCTCTAAAAAAACATAGCATCCAGTTAGCTCCTACTTCTAGGACTTTGTACCTTTCTGCTTAGCTTCCATCACATTTATCATTGCCTGACACACTATAATGAACCTGTTAACTTTCTGTCCATCTTCCACTAGAATACAAGCTCCCTGAAGTCAGAGACTTTTTGATATTTTGTTTACTGATAATTCCAGATGCCAATAGTTGCCAATGGCAACTATAGAGGCTTTAAATTTTTTTTTAGAGAGGTTTTTGTTATATTTTTAATGATTACTTTTACCAGAGGCATTAAGAGTTAATATATTAAGTTAAACATTTCCTTATGAGCCAGCAGGTAATGTGGTGGTTAAAGTGCTGGAATCCCATATGGCCAATTGATGGTCAATTAACAGACCCAGAGGCTTCAAACTCACGCAGGCATGTGTACACGCGTGCCCCAAATCCCGGGAGAATGAAGGAAAGGGGAGTGCAGCATGGACGTCCCCCCAGTTTCCCTCTCTCTGTGTCTGTGTCTCTCTCTCATGAATGTGCCCAAGGCTCTAAAGCAAAAGCCTAAAAGAAAAACCGAAAGAATCTCCCAACGGAAGACTAGTCATGGCTGAACTAGTGAAAATACTGTATGCTGACTATTCTCTGGGCTAGAAGCAATAACACTTAGTGTTGTAGATAAGCACAGGCTCTGGAGCCAGCCTCCCCGGGTTCAAATTCAGCCCCCACACTTACTAGCTACACGACTTTACACACGTACTTTCTTCCCTCTTCCTTTCAAGTTTTTAACTGTGTAGTGGGGAAAACAACAGCCATTAATCTCACGAGATTGTTGTGAGAAATAAATGCATTACTACATGCTAAGAATGTAGACAGGGCCAGCAAGTGGCGTGGTGGTTAAGACGCTGGACTCCCACATGACTGACTGCGGTTCGAGTCCTAAACCTGGTAGCTTACTTTCTCACTCTTTCTCTCTCACTTGCTCTGTCCCTCTCTGGTCAAAATTAAAAATAAATAAAGTTAAACAAAATAATTCTAAAAAAAAAAAAGAACTTAGACAGTGCTTGATTATTATTATTATTTTTTTTTTTTGAGAGAGAGGTTTTAACTATAGGGCGCATGTGCTCACCAGAAAGATGGAGAGAGACAGAGAGACAGAAGTGAGAAATCACTCCCCGGGGGGATGGCCACACGGCAATCCCTTCTCCTGCATTCTCCTTTCAGGATCTTGGGCACACACGCACACGCGCCTGGCATGAGTTTAACCCACCAGGTCCAGGACTCAAATCGTGGCCGACTACATGGGAGTCCAGTGACAAAGCCATTACGGTAACTGCTGGTATCAGACTGTGCTTGATTTTAATTCTCTAATTCACTAGCGTCTTCATTTAAGGGGAAGTCACCAGTCATTTAGGGCAACTTTTTTTTTGGGGGGGGGAGAGGGTTTCGCTATAGGGTGCATGTGCTCACCAGAAAGACAGAGAGAAACAAAGAGACAGAAAGCAAGAAATCACCCCCTGGGAGGATGGCCATGCTGCAATCCCTCTCCATTCTCATCTCGGGATCTTGGGCACACGTGCACACGTGCCTGGCGTGAGTTTAAGCCATAGGTCTGGGAATCCAGCCGTGCTCAACCACATGGGAGTCCAGTGACATAGCCATTACACCATCAGCTGGTCCCAGAGCAACTTCTTCTTTTACTTTTTTTTTTTTTTTTTGAGAGATTTTTGCTATAGAGTGCGTGCGTTTACCCAAGAGACAGTGAAAAATCATCCCCCCAGAGAGGATGGCCACACCGCAATCCTTTCTCCTCCATTCTCCTCTTGGGATTTTGGGCATGCACACACACAGGCCTGGCGTGAGTTTTAAGCCACTGGGCCCAGGACTCGAACCACAGTTGACTATGTGGGAGTCCAACGACATAACTATTACATCACTTGCTGGTCCCAAGGACAACTTCTAAATTAGGTAACTTACCTATTCATAAAGTCACAGGATTAGGAAGCAACCTGAGAAGAACTCTTTAATTTTCCCAGATAAAAATGCCAAGACCCAAAAAGAGGAAATGATTTGTCCAAAGTCACAAAACTAGTGGTGGCGGAACCAGCAACAGAACCTGGCAACAGAGCCTAGATGATACAGTCCGAGTAAACTGCAGTGCTGGAAGCCACACGCCAACCGTGGATTCAGGTCCCCAGGTCAGCCTGAAAACACACATGCACGTGCTTGAGATCCTCAGGTGCTGAAGGGCTAAGGCATGGGGATTATAACATGCCTATACCCTGCTAATGGTGCTTTTCTCTCTCACATGAGTATGCACACACTCTCTATCTTTAAAAAATAAAAAAGGGACTTGCAGGTGGCATGGTGGTTGAGGATGCTGGACTCCCACATAGACGACTACAGTTCAAGTCCTGGACCTGGCGGCTTGCTTTCTCATTTTCCCTCTCTCTCGTTCTCATTCAGTCTCTCTCTAGCCAAAATAAAATAAAATAATAAAGTTAAATAATAAAAAAAAATTCTTAGAAAAAAAAAGTCCTTAACTCTCCCAATTTAATGTTCACTTCATCACATTGCCTCCTCTTGTAGTAACGTTTTTAAGTTACATAGAATCTTTTTTGTTGTTTATTTATTTTTATTTGCTATGATTTGCAGGTTGACCGGTTTGGGACTTGAAATGCAGTCGGCCATGTGGGAATCCAGTGTCTGAATCACCACACAACCTGCTGGCCCTGAGTTAGGTAAAATCTTAATCTGAGCAATAAATAACCAGACCAGAAAAGAAAAGTTGGGACCAGCAGATGGCGTAATGGTTATGTTGCTGGACTTCCACATGGCTGACTGCAGTTCAAGTCCTAGACACGGAGGCTTGAAACTTACGCCAGGTGCATGCTGGGTATGTGTGTGCACATGTCCAAAATCCCGAGAGGAGAATGGAAAAGGGCCTGTAGTGTGGCCATCTTCCCCACCTCCGGGAAGTGATTTCTCACTTTCTATCTCTTTGTCTCTTTCTTTCCAGCATATGTACTTGCCCTATAAGCAAAAAAATCTCTCTCTAGAAAAAAAAAAAAAAAAAGAGAGAGAGAATGTTGTGAACTGAATAGCTGGAAGGTAGCCAACTAGGATCCACCCATAATCTCTCAGTAATAATAAAATAACATTTACTAAAATTCCTGGAGAGAGCAGGGCTGGGAGGTGGCGAGGTGGTTAAAGGTACTGGATTCCCACATGGCTGACCATGGTTTGGGTCCCAGACCTAGCAACTTGCTTTCTTGCTTCCTCCACCCCAACCCCCTCCCCTGTCTCTCTCTGGTCAAGTCAAAAGAAAGAATAATAATAATAATACAAATGGAGGGGCCAGCAGGTGGAGTAGTGGATACTGTGTTGGCATTCCCACATGGCCGACAATGGTTCGAGTCCCGGACCTGGTGGCTTGCTTTCTCACTTTCCCTATCTCTCTCTGTCAAAGCTCATGTGAAAAAAAAAAATTCTTTAAAAAATTCCTGGAGAGACCAAATTATTTCCTCACATTCTCTCATCTCTCCCAAGTTTGGCTTCACTTTATCCAAATGACGAAATATGTTAAGAGATAAGAACTTTCACGTTTTTTATCCAGATAAATTGCTATATACATTTAACTGAAAACCCACATTGTCTCCCTGAACCCCAAGAAGTTGAGAATAATAAAAACATTTCTATTATATCCAGGAGACAGAAATAGGCAAAATGACAGCCTATACTATCTTTGTTTGTTTGTTTTTTTTTTTTTTTTTTTTTT